GCATTAGCGGCGGCGTAGGTGTAGGGTATGAAGCAGAAGCGCGTATTTCTAAGATTACGGCAGTATTCTCCAGCCTACAACACATCCAGTAACAAAGAGGCATTCCTCTGAGGGTGTATTATTTCAATGTTGTGAAACTTGACCTTCCAGGGTATGATACGTGGACCGTCTGCAGATGTCTGACTATCGATGTCTGCTTTCGATCGCTTGCATGAAGTGACACCAAGGGATAGGCATCGAAGAGGCTGGGAAACTAGTATTTGGTGGTGACTTGCAAGCGAGCTCTTTTGTTTAATTTTTAAGTTCAATTGGACGGCTTGACCATGTACTAAAGCTGCAAACTGGTCGTCTGCCACTTCCGAGCGCTTTAATCCATGTCCCGGCTAACTGGTGGTAAGTAATGTAATTGGTGGACAAATGACCTGTCGTACAGAACTGAAGCCATTCACGAAGGGTTCGTCTCCTGGGCTAGAGCCCTCACGACTCACAAATTCGGTGGATGAGGACACTACGTTAGATGGCGGATAATCAATTACAATGAAAACCGTAGAATCTACTTACACGCACTTTTACACATTAACTTATTACTAGAAATAATGCCGAACAGAATTTGGTTTTACATGCTTAGACACGCATCTTTTGCGATTGTTACGGAGAAGTAAGTATACGAACAAAACATGACTGATCGTCTGAAACGGACATAATTTTCCGATTAGCCTTTCTTTTCCACACCATCTGACACAGATTCAGATGTGCATAAGCATTCGCAGCTTCCTCAAATATGTAAATTGCTTATGAATTCTATTAGTCCTATGTCGGTTTGAAAGTAAGTAAATGAAAGATTAACCGCAATGAATTCATGATGTTACGAGGGACTGTAAAACTGCCATGCGTCTTAGTACTCAATGAGCATGGTAAATACAACCAATTTACAGCATGGTTCCTGTTTGTCTATAATGAACACAAGTTAGCCCAATGTTGTGGTTACGGTTCAGGTTCCTCTATAAATATATCCATTTACTTTATGACTCACCGAATTCTGTGATTAAGGACTAGTGATTAAAACCGTTAATCCTGAGATTTAAAGCAACACAGAATTCACAGATCTCCAACTGTCACTGATTGTTCGACATAGCCTACATTTCATTTACCGCGAACAATTTAATTAGACTGGCTTCCGTCTTCGAGAGCGACAATAGCGCAAACTCGAAACATTTTTACTAGTTGGTCGTATTATAAAGCGTACTCTTAATGGGTGATAGCACACAAACAATGTATAAAATCTTTGTATAAGCGAAGTTCATATGGTCGGCGGCTAGGTGTATACAATCCAAGAGTTGCGATGTGTCCAACATAACCGGTCGGGAAACAACTCACTGTCACGTAACCAAGTGAAAATAATCGGTGACATAAAGACAAAATGAGTCATAAACCCAGCGTTTATGGAGGTTACTTTCTACAGCCAAAAGTGGTTCGAATTTAAAAGGTGCCAGTCAATTCTTCTGGATAACCTCTTATTTCATACCGAACGAATAATCCCAACCATTTCACAGTGATATGATTTATCTAGGAAACAGATTATTCCAAACAAAGCCCCTTCGTGATCAACTCATTCCGGCAGAAGTCATCTGCAATTTACGTCAGTCTGAGGCTGATAATGCCCATGGTGGTAAAAGCCAGAACTGCGTACAATCGTAATTTTTTAACAATGTACTGGTGTGAAAATTTGGAAGAGATATTGCTTTCACTCACACACACTCTGTTCCTGCGAACTAATAAGAGATGAGCTGTTAAAAAATCTCCCCAAATGCCGCTAACATTAACGTTTAAGCTCACTTGAACGACATCCTTCGGATATTGAATTCCAATACACAACCAATTGTTCCTCATCACATTATAGCTGAGTGGTTATGCAATCCGCAAGCACAGTGGTGATATTGAATACTTAATAGCAGCATAGTTGTGTTACTGGTGAGTAGTTCTAAAGGTCTAGTAACCCAGAGAAGACCCAATTGTGAAAGATTTGGGCCTCGAGTGGGCTCGAACCAGTGACAGAAACAAAGTAATCAGAAGCAGTAGACGTTCTACCAACTGACCTATGAAGCCAAACTATTCATTGGTAATACAACTTCAAATTTCAGCGGTGGTACTGGCGGATTCCAGCACAAACTGTTTGAGAAATCTTTGATCGCTTGGTAGAATCCATATTGCAGAGTTAGAGGGCCAGGTAAGTGAATCCAGTTGTGAATGTTCTGAGTTCTCCAGACAGTTTCGTAAATTATCTGATAGAGTACTTTTTGGTTTTGATCATTTTGATCCTGTCTCTCACTGGAATCCAGTCACATCTAGATTTTTCACAACTCGGTCGGTTTTGAAGTAACGTGATTGTCAACTTACAAATGGACCATACAATGATATGACCAAAACAAGAGAACACTTCATGGACCCAACTGCAGATCACTCATTAATTCAGACCTTCGACTGCTTTGTTTTTACAAAGATAACATGCTAGGTAAAAAAAGAACTAGAATTCTGTAAGCATGGCTGCAAGCCATCATCGGTCCAAAGTGCTGTCCGATATCGCTGTGAGATACACCATTGGTGAAGACATTTTGGAGGTTATGAGATACATCATAAAAAAGCTTTTGAGAAAATGTATCATCGGAGTTGAAACAATCAGTACTGATATATGCTGGACGAGAAATGTGAAACAGAGTCCAAATGGAATGAAACGACGCCTGAACGGGTGACACAAAATGATGTACTCTTACGTTGAACGTTTTTTGCGAATGAAACCAAGATCCTTTTAAACCAATACTGTGAACAGTGGTAATTAATTATATATTGCGGTTAACAAAAGGCGTGTAGAAATCTGGAGAAATGTCAACAGATATCATTAGAAAGTATTGTACCCATATATTTGTCAGATTCAGAAATTGATATACCAGATATTAAAGCAGAATAGGTAAAATCAACTGCTAGCTCTTCACCATTAAAATGAGTGGAAACCATGTCTGAACATTAGCTGTTGATGTTCAGACAATTTCATTATTTTGGTAAGCCTATCTGTTAGAATGGAAGTTCGCTCGTTTCTATCAAATATGAAAAACAGGACAATATCATGAGTATTGTGGTGCTTACTAAGAGATCACAATGCAAGAAACAATGGGGGGAGGGGAAGAATCTCATTTCGTTGAAAACATTTGACCTTACAGGAAACAGGTGGTACTCAGTTTGAAGATCTCAAGTGACACATTTTATTGTACACTTGTACACATTAGCGGTGAAAGGTTATCGAGGAATTTCTTAGATTTTATGAACGGATCACATCACCATGCTTAGTTGTTATGGTTTTCCACAGTCACTACACTTCTTCTGAGTCAATTATCACTGGGAAGAAGTATTCTGGGATGAACTGACACGTAACATTGTGTTGCACGAGAGGCCTGGTGGTTGAAGTTCCATCGCTGAAAACCCTATCTTATGTATGGAGAATAGCGAAATTAGCTGTTACATCGTACTGGATTTTCTTATGTGATCGGGTGGCTTTCAAAGTCTGTTAAATTCACTAACGTTGTGCGAAAAGTTTCTCACTCGTCCGCCATTCAGTAAGTGTTTCGTTGCATTGGAGACAGATTATCACTTTCCCTGACTGGTTTCATCGTCAGTTAAATGCACCAACGATCGACCTTACTAAACATTAATCTTTCTCAATATACTATTATTTGATTTCTTAATGGAATGACTCATCAACTAATGACTGCCGACAGTCCCACGAACGAGGCCTGTTCATGCCAAAATGTGAGTTCTCAACGAAACTAGTACTCGCGGTAAAGCACACTTTTTGTCATAATGGACAAACCAGTGCTTTCCGATGAAAGTGAATCTAGGATCAGTTGCATTCTGCACATCCGTTTGCTTGTGTGTACGAGGAGAATCGATACTAGACCCCGTGAGTAGAAGAACCGGTTCATAAGTGACTCATGGAAGCACACCTTCATTGCCTGTGTCTAGTTGTACCCGACCCGGTCTGAAAGTTAAGCCATTGTGTACAGCACATGTTGACCCAGTGACAGTTTTTCGTTTCAAAGACTGTTTGATTATGAGCCAGTATACAACAAAATTGGACGGCTAGCAGGCAGTTTTGTGGCACTGCAAAAACGTGGAGTATTTCACAAGATGCAGATTCATCTCATCAGGTTGTATCGTCGTTGCATCCGGATCACCTGAAAATAAGTTGTTCTGGCCACAACGATGTTATATTAAACTTCATACTGTGTCCAGTACAGATTCTTAGAGTAAAATGTAACACCTCGTCAGGAACCCATCAGAAAGATCATCACAGATGACTGCAACCTGAAATGATAGGCCTGTTTTATTGCTCTAAATGCTTAGTTTGAGTTGAATGCCTTTTTTTATCGGTTTATCACACAAATGTTTGTAATCACGACAGATTATTATGAGCAATGTAACATGTCCTTCGGTTTGTTATTCTGACAAATGAGCACTCTCAGTTGGAGTTTGATAAACTGAACTGGTTACGAGATAACTCAAAAACGAGAATTACTGGGCTTTAGTGTTCATCATGAGTAGGAATAAATTAAGCTGTATATCGAGGTGTACTTAACCCAAATTCATAATCTGTCATATCACGTGGTGAGGAATGTACGTCCTATTCTCAAAGTCATAACCGTATGTGTGAGATCATGGGTCAGGAGCAACTTACATTTTGACAGGTTGTCTATTTGTGTGTAGACTATGCGAATTCATACGCAGTAATCACGAAATAAATTAGGGTCAGTTACCGGTAAAATGGTATTTAGTTTTTTTTCTCAAGTCATCAAACGATACGAATTCCTCAATTTATGCTTATTCGGGTAAAAAGTAGATCCAGAAGGCCAGGAGAATACAGTTCAAAGCCAGCGGGGAGAGATTAACCATTACTAATGAATAGTTTGGCAGATTTATGATTTTAGATGAGAGCCACGTATGGAAAGTCAGGGCTTCGGCTGGATTCGAACCAGCAGCAGAAACACTATGCCTCAACGCAGCAAGCGCTCTACCAACTGAACCACGAAGCCACGCTCAACAGTGGCGTTGGTGGATTCCAGCGTGAACTGCTCGAGAAGTTCTCCGGAGCAGTCGATCCTCTGGATCACTTGGTGGTTTCCATATAAGACTGTAGGACGAGTGGGTGACAGAATCTAAATGTGAAACTCCTGGGCCCCTGGCGTGGTTTCGTAGCTCAACTGGTACAGCGTTTTCTCTTTGATGCATGGTGTTTCTATCGCTGGTTCGAATCCAGCTGAAGCTCCGAGTTTTCACAATTGGGTCTCATCTAAAAGTAGTCGTCTTTTGAAAATGATAATTTTGTTCTCTTCAAACCCGAACAAACAGCAGACTTTTTTATGACGTGAACACTTCATAAAATGAGCCCCACTCGCAGTTGATCACAGCTTTACACTCACATAGAAATCAAGTCAACCTGTTTCTAAATTTAACACTAAATACCATACCGTCTTCATCAGATCACATCAGTACTGCATATTCCCGAAACATCTGGAATGTGAACCCCACTTTCTTGAGGCAATCACGTTGACCATCGCACCAACGGTTGCAAACTAAGTACAACAGAATTATCACACGCAAACACTCAGTAACATTCACTTGTCAGAAATGCTCAGTTTGCTCAATCGCCACGAGAGGAAACAATGGCGTGTTAATTCCAGCCGGAACATTACTCATAAGCGAATTTCGCTGAGTGGCTGTATATGATATTTCGATCTTGTCTGATGCTAAACCAACGGTGTAATGATCAGTACGGTTGCCTCAAAGAAGGCGTTGCCGAATTTTCAATTTTTGCCGTTACACTGCTGTTGAGGTATACCAAATATTCAACTCATGTTCACTACTTCATTTTGGGGAGTTAAACAAGATTTTGAGTGATGCTCAATTCATATCAGCCAAGATCACTTACTACTGTTCACTAATAATGACTTCTATTTTGAAACTCATGAACCGTAAATGAATCATGTTATACTTACGCAAGGTTACTGAGAATTATACGAGATTGCAGAGTATGGTATTCACATGCCACAAAACGGTACTTTAGGTAAAAGTACGTTATACTTTTTGACTGTTCGTTATTTGTTGCAGAGTACATGTACATAACCCCCAAGCAGAACGGCGCAAGGCACTTGTGACGACATGTATGCAGACGCTCTTTGGGTTTCAGTACTGTGACGGGTTGAAGCGAAAGTTCATGGCGCCCACCACGTGTACGTGGGAACATACGAACAGCTTTAAATAGTCAAACTATCGAGAACCCGTTACAAACGATTAATAATCAGTGAACTCGTCTTCTTAAGTCAAATCATTACACCACTACTCACATGACCACAAAGAGGACAGCATTATTGGTGAGCTCTCTAAAGAATAAAACTAGTCTAGTGATTCCCTTCGATTTGAGCCAGGAGAGGCTTCCAGCAGATTATGGATTATGGTCAGCCTGCGAAAGTTAAACTCCTCAAACTTTAGTTTCTAATAGTTTTGTCGTCAGAATCTAACAGCTGAAGATTAGTCCTGATCAATGGGATTTGCAAACATGCTCATAAGATGTAAACACAATATTCAAAATTATCCACTTTCAGGTTTCAAACTAACGAATCATGAAAAGAATATTAGGCTAAGGGAGCTGATTTTGGTAAGTCTATTGTGCTAACTCACTGTTTCACAACTTCCGAAAACAATTACTACAGGACGCAATATTTGCATACCTATACCCACATGGGTTGTCACATCATTCCGATGCATTCTTTACCACTCGTGATCTTAGATGGACCATCGGTTCTCAGCATTTGTGTACCAGTAGCTGACCTTCGGTCATAACCAGGCTGAACCGTTTATGTAAAATACCGGGATGTGGAGATCGAATCGGTTTATCTCAAAGACCTCGGATGTGAAAGCAACTGCGGACTAAACGCTATATAAGGTAAGATAATTACACACAGACGGACATTGAAAAGGTACGCTAGTTTTCAGCCTTTGTACGTACACTGTAATAAAGTTCAAGCGAGAATGGAGTCAAATGCTTACACCAAATTCTACTGAAATCTATGGGAAGAAGAAGCTGGATGGAATCATAAGAAGCACTAAACTGCATAATATCATGTGGCGTTAGATTAGCTGAAAAAACATCAGCGTACATCTTGTGATACCGTGGCAAGGGAATCGTAGTATGAAGAGCAAGGCACACGTGTCACACAAGTCCAAAAATATCGGTTTTAAGACGACAAGCAGTCTAGGATACTATTTTGAGTAATCGGTGAACGAGACTTATAATATCGGACAGAAATGTCAACGGACAAGGGTAAGGTAATATCCTGGAATTCTACCTGTTACCTTGGTGTACTCGGACCAGTCGTTGGATCTTATAAGGATACTAGTCAAGAGCAGTTGAGTAATTCGAAGCGAACCACTAGAACATTTTTTGTACCAGCGCCTTCGTCAGATCTCATTTTCAACAGGAACATTTGTAACTACCATGCCGAACGGCGTAACCAACACTGACATTACTCAATTGGTTTTTTGGTGGTGTTGGCGCAAACCATGTGACTAAACGCGTGCGATTGTATTTTTTCGTTTTATCGGATCGTCTGTTACCCGTTGGCACACCTAAATGAGTTCTATTGACCTACCATGTAGACTTTGACGATATGACAAACTAGAAATAACTGTCATTAGCATGATGTGAACATTTCCTGTCAAGTAATGGAAAATCCAGAAATCGAAATGAGATTTCCTGTTCAAAAGTGCATATCCTAGACAAAAAGCCGAATGAAGTTCACTCATTCTATTGAACAAGGTTAAATATTGCGCACGACAAACCGGTAGATAAGTTGTAAACAGAGTTGTTCAAAGTTTTATTCGCATGAAATTTGAATTAACCTGTTCAGATGTACGATCAATCTCCTTCAAGGTCACCATCGCCTGACCGACTAGGACCAGAAATGACACGCACACAGAGCACTGGTTATCCGTCCACTGAACTGTTGAGTAAACGCGCAGAACTGACGAATGAACATTTTTAACTCCGTATTTTATTTCGGTATATTGATTTTTTATCATTGGTCATCAAACTATTGTCACCTGTTCACTCAGCAGTTTGGTGCGGACGGTTTTTATTTAGTGCTCTTTGACTAAATTTCGTGGAATTCGCTATTTCCCTTCCGATGCTAGCTTGCTGGATTTGCGGCACATAGAACTATAAACATTCTATCATATTAAGGGGTTCCAAAGTTTGGTGTTGAGCAGTACTACTCTTTGTAACCTTTTATATAGCCATAAATGAGCAAGCTTCTCGATACTGATCAACTAGATGACCTCTACTGAATACATAGTGAAGCCGAACAAACGAGTTTAAGTTCATGTCAACTATTTCGTTTTTCTCGGTAAAATTTCCAGAATCTCGTAGCATCTAACTGTAGGTAGTACGACAGGTGTTTCAACAAAGAATAACCGGTATTCAACACAGGTTATCTGACGATCAATACCGAGAACCGCACGTGCTTACATAAAATTTCAGTCAGTGGGAAGCGAGAGCGATGCGCATATGACGACTGATCCGCGTCATCTACTTTATACTAACAGCAGACTAGCTCGATTTTCATGTTAATTGCATCATTCTGAAGCTTTTCCTGCAGGTTGTTTTGTTAGATATTTAATCTTATTCAGAAGACTGAAGGAGCACTATGAAGTTTCAGTCGGAAATACTCCGTTTTGTCAATCACGATGATAAACAATAAGTTGACCATCATTTTCGCCTGCGGACGAGCAGTCCAGAGAAATCAGCACTTCTGAGGAAGGCAATTCGAGGTGGTTGGGACGTAGAGTATTGCAACTTGCTCTTAACGTTGTGTTATTCTCAATCGATTTACCAAAAACGATTGCACAATTGTTTGGTAGAAGTTCCAAGATTTAGATTAATCCAAATTGAACATCACTCACACTTGATCGCACCTCTCGAATTCAGATAACACTTTCGGGTAACTCTTTCCAAAATGAAACACTATTCTGGAGGTCTGTTTTTATTAATCCTCATCAGTACTGTGTATTCTCGTCCGGACCGGGATTTACATTTTGGCACTCGTGATTATGAAAATGGTTTGTTGGCCTCAACGGTAGAAACCTTACAGTAGGCATGGCTGAATGAACTTATTCAAACGCTGAACCACAAAAATAAACGGATTAAACAGCGAGATTCTGTTTATTCTTTTTTCGAAATGATCGGACAAGTTGAATTATATTCACACAAAGTTGCGATTGAACGTTTGGGTACAAATGATCCGTCATAACTATTATGAGATTACTGATATGGTCGTTAATAGGTCATTCTCACAAGCACGAGAGCCAAAGTGTAAATTCCGGTCCGGACGAGAAGTTACAGTACTGATTAGGTTTAAGAAGAACAAACCTCCAGCTTAGGGCTTTCTTTTGAAATGAGCTACTCGAAAGTGTTATCTGAATTCGACAGCTGTGATCAAGTATGGATGATGTTCAGTCTGAAAGGATACACAATTGTTAGGCAACTCGATATTGAACGCTTAGAGTTAACTGACATCATCAACGGCAAAGTATCCTCAACTTATGCAAGAATTCCTTTATCAGACGTGCTGCTTTTTCCACTCAAAACAAACGTATGCAGAGAAAATTGCAATCAGATATCTACTCCCCTCTGGTACTTATCTGGGGGAATTGTTTATGGAGTTAGTGTCGTTGTGATAGCAACCAAACAAGTTTCCAGCTTTGATTATCTTTCATTTTTGGTTCATAGTTCGGGGCAGAAAACTACCAGTGAAGATGTAACGAAATCTTCTCGATCATAAATTATAGTGTCTCATTCCCTACTCAGCGACAAGAACAAAATCTACACTAAAAGTATATATCTTTCAGCGTTAGCAAAGGTCATAGAATTCTGAAGTATTATAAAGCAAGATAAAACTAGCCCCTGAAACAGTATAAATCTATCACGGGTAATCGAACATTAGACAAGTGCAATTTAATAAACAATGATCCACTAACC